ATGAATATTTTACTCATCGCCAAAAGTTGTGGATACATAATCACACTGGGAAATATTTTTTACTCATCTCATCTGTCAGATGGACATCAAAAAAGAAAATCAGTCACGAAGCAAATTGACAACTGCCTGCTGTCTAATATGCCAAATTCGATAGTTATAAATTGGGGACCAATTATTATCACATAGATTATATAGTAGAGAAATTGCAGTTGACTAAAAACCGCGGGTTATACTTACGTGAAAATATTGAGCTCTACTAATTTCGAGTTTATCGCGCAGCCTATTTCGAAACTAGTAGAGCTGCTCTCAGTATATTCACGTGAGTAACCCGCGGTTTTTAGTTAGTTTAGTATGTCTCACGATAGTTATAAATAATTGGTGTTGTTTACGAATATGTGAGTGTTTGTCGATGTAAATACGAGACAGGAGAAAATCGTAGATAAATAGAACAAAATAATACCTATTTTTATTTCTTACCTGACTCTTCCTCTTATTCATGATCCTCCTGTGAGCGCCATCGTGTCCCTCCTCCCCCTGCGCCTGACTTCTCTGACCACCAAACTTGTTGAATCCTCCCTGTTGATTATTATTCCCTCTAAACGCGTTCCTCTGTCTATTACCCTGGTTGTTACGACTCGGAGGTCCATTTTGTCTATTACCCTGGAAATTGTTGCGACTGGGAGGGCCGTTCTGTCTGTAACCCTGGTTATTGCGGCCGGGAGGACCATTTCTCTGGTTATCTGGTCTAAAATTCCCTCTTTGCTGTCCCTGGTTTCCTCTAAACCCTCTCTGTGGTTGGTTATTCTGGTTGTTACCAGTTTGATCCGGTTTCTTCTTGTTTGTGACCTGTGTGCATCGTTTGACGCGTAGTATTCTATTTTTAACTGTTAGATCTTCTTCTGTTAATGCTAGGGCTAGTTCTACGCCATCTTTTGATTTGAAGTTTACGTAGCCGAAACCTGGAAACATATTTTAATATTTTATTCAAAGGCATAGGTACTGATTTTAAACATGAAATCGTAAATTAAAAGTGTGAAACACACAATCATGTTGTGTCATAAATAGTGGGCCATCCTTAAAGCCTAAACATGCTTCCTTGTACTAAAATTTTCAGAAAATCGTATATTATTACTACTTGTTTAAAACATACACATTAATAAAGTAACTATATTTAGTTTAAACAACACTCACCTTTTCCCGCATTAGTCTTCTTGTCCCTGACTATCCTGACAGAATGAATCTCCCCGCACTTCTCAAACTTGGCCCTCAGAGCTTCATCCTCCATAGCAAATGGCAGGTTGCCAATAAAGATGGAACACTTGGGGTCATGTTCAGCTCCCGTGCTACTGCTCCGGGATACTCGGAGGTGGTGCTCGTTTAGTACTGTGTTATTTTCTACTAATGCCTGAGGAGTGAAAAAAGGTTTTTTAGTTTTACGTTGCTTAGCTGTGTGGAGTTTCTTTAAAGGTTGTGCAAGAATAATAGGTTGCAATAATGTTACAACTCAATGTGTAACACATGAAGTCGGTTGACAATACATAATGTTGACTTCCTGTATGACAACTATTAATTGTTTAAACATAAAGTTGATTGATTGTTTTGTTCAAAACTGCAGATTCCTAGGGAATAGAATTAGCAAGATACTACATTATCTCTTTTTCAATACATAATTAAAATTATTAAACATTTACAAATCATGTAAGAAAATCTATATAAATAAAATTAATTTCTGTTTGTTAGTCTGGCTAAAACTCGAGAATGGCTGAACCAATTTGGATAATTTTGGTCTTGAAATATTCGTGGAAGTTCAGGGAAGATTCAAAAGGTGAGAACAAAAATTAAAGGCGGTACGAAGTTTCGTGGGTCAGCTAGTTATAACATAAATGTTCTACTAAATTAAAACGGTTAAAAAGACAATAAATCAGAAAACAGACATGTCTGTAGAAAGATAAATATTTCGAAAGTAAATACAACTGACCTTCTCAACAGACTCCTCACTGGCGTACTTGATGTAGACATTGACAGTGGTCCTCTCGGGATGCAGCTCGTGTTTGATCAACGCCAGCTTGGGGGTGTAGCGGCCATCTTTTAAGGGGACTGTGCGGATTCTGTAAGAACAATTTCATTTGCTTTTATTATTTTTCATTTGTGATTACATATTTTGTATTTCCAAACATACTAATGTATAGATTTAATGTATGTATTGATTGTAGAAAACCAAAATATTAAAATATTAACTACTGCGATAGTGAAAAGCCTTACCCAGAAATATCAGAATGAATAAATATAATTTATTTCTTAACACATATTCAAGTTACTACTATCACTGCCTCGTTGGCCGAGTGGTCGCAAGTGCAACTGCCGGGCAAGGGGTCAGGCAATGTATTAAAAAAATCTTACTGGTAGCACGGAATCTGTAATAGCAATAGGCTCGCCCCTTATTACATGGGACTCATAACATAAATAGTAATATTGAGAAGTTGGTATTACATTGTACAGTGGCATCAAGTGATGACACATGAAGTTATGTTATGAAAATTCAGGTTAATAGTTTTTTTTTTATATTTATAATAAATCATAATGATCTTACCTAATAGTTTCAATCTGCCCATATTTATTAAATATTTTCTTGACTTCCTTCTTACATTTCGCACTGAAAGGTACATTCCCAACAAACAGTGTCCTCTTAATCTCATCCTCTGTATTTCTCTCAACTCCACTATCTTCTGCTTTCTCCACTTTCTTATTTTCTGCCTTCTGAGGTTTTTCTTCATCTTCTTCCTCATCAGAGCTATCTTGTTTCTCATCTTCAAGAACCTTTTTATTAATTTCTTCATTTTCCGAATCAATGTCATCATCGGAATCATGTTCTGAGTCTGAATCTTTGTCTGTTATAGCATTTGGATTAACTGTGTTATTAGATTCTTCATTCTCACTTTCCTCTTGTTTCTCTTCATCTATTTCCAAATTTTCTTCTACTTTCTCCTGTGCTTTGGTTTTTTTCTTCTTATTTTTCTTTTTTGATTTTTTAGATTCATTTTCACCTACTTCTTTGACTTTTTCATCTGAAGTTGCTTCAGAAGTAGCTGTCTTCTCTACTTCTTTGTTCTCATTATTGTCTGCTGTACTTTGTGCCTTTGATTTCTTCTTGCGTTTCCTATTTTTCTTTTTAGGTGTGTTATTACTATTTGTTTCTATTGTTTCTGAACCTTTTTCTTCTGCTTCTGTATTATTTGCTTTATTATTTTGTTTCTTAGGGCTGTTTGTAGCTTCAGGTTTAATTAATTCTTCAGTGTGATCATTTTCTTTATTACTGTCCGGTTCTGCAATAGATTTACGTCTCTGTTTGTTCTTTTTGGGGCTTTTGGCTACAGGGACTGTGACCTCATTGGTTACATTCTCTGTTGGTTGAGTTACAGTCTCTGTAGAATCTGATTCCAAGGCCAACTTCTTCTTCTTTTTCTTAGGTGTATTTTCATTATTAACTTGATCTATTACATTTTCATTACTTTCCGCTTGTGCTGTTGATTCTCTTTTCTTACCTTTACCTTTAGGTGACTTCGGTATTGTTACACTACCAGCTTCTAAATCATCTTTCAAATGTTTCTTCACTTTGTCTGCCTTGGGACTGGAAAGACTCGCATTTCCTTCGCCATTCTCCGTTGTATCTAAATCTGGATTCTCAAATATCCTCTTCGGCGACTTCTTGACTATAGCCTTCTTTTTCTGCATACTTGGTGAAAGAAATATGGATCTATCGTCGACAAACTCACTCTTTGGAGTAACGTTCGGTGAAGGTTGGTGTTTTGTTGGCGTTAGTGCTATTTTGTTGAGTCGTGTGGGACGATGTGGAGTCACGTTACCGGTAATTAAGGCTGCCACGCTTCCTACCACGTAATCCATGGCACTGGCACACACAACCACGTAAAACAACTATTTCCAGTTCAAACACCGTGTGTCGTTTCAACGCACATGGTGTTTTTTGGTTATTTTGAATTATGACAGCTGAACATATGACATTCGGGGATTTGACATTAATTTAGGGTAGTCACGTAAAATTGAATAAGTTCCCAGCAAATTATAATTATTTTTGCATTGAAAAATTCGACAAAGATTCTGATATAATTTTATTTTGTATTTACTGTAATCATACGGTCTTGAATAAAGTAGTACTTTATAAATAGTTTAAATTTAATTATTTGTAACTCTATCATATGTACGTACATCACTCAAGCGTACCTACTATTCTTTAAAATAAGTAATATAAGACTTCATTAGTCTTCATAAAATTTAGTAATATAATTGAAAAATGAAGTATATCGTTAAATTGATGAATGAAATTTGTATGATTAATATTAATTATTTCTGTATTAAATTTACATTGATTTACGTTATAATTCATTTTACTATCGTTAACGTTACATTATACCTCTAATCACGAACATAAAAAGCAGAAATTTAAAATAAATAATTGGGTAGGTACATGCGAACTAGTCAAATTCAATACTTTTTTCGAACTGTCAAAAACAACAGTTATCTATAAATTTTGTACGAGAATGTATATTATGACGTCACGTTTTTTTAGTGATTATTAGAAATACGCATACTCATTTCTTAAAAATTTGCTGGCAAAATGCCAAAGTTAAGTTAATCATAAAATTAATTAAACAAAAGTTTAATATGTTATTGTATTGAACAGTCGAAATAATTTATTTTTGATTCACCCAATTATTTTACGGCGTAAACAAAACATTCCATTAATATACGTAAAATCATTTTCCTTGGAACCCTAAAAATGTTGCCCTGTAAATAAAAATGTTTTCGTGAATTTTACGCAATAATTTTAATTTTTAAAATGCAATGTCCAATTATGAAATTAATGCCTATTATTGCCTCAAATTACAGATGGAATTTATTTATACTTATAGCTTTATACATAAAAAAAATAAATGGCACACTTCAAAAAAACTAAATAAGGTAATAAATAAGACAGTGGCATGGCAACACAGATATATTCGGTGTTCCGGAAAAACGATGCGTTTTAACGACGCTTTCTTGATAATTATTCGTTTTGTTTGATCACTGCACGCCGAATTCGGTGATATTTACGTTATTCAGTGTTATTTTCTGTGAGTGTGGATTATTCCTAATAAACGTGAGTACCTATTTATTTTGTTTGTTTCAGTGTTTTCCTATCAAAAAGTGAGCGCGCCATTGTGCCGCCCGCCATCATTTCAATTATTGTTTTTTTATTTGATCAATTTGATTGAAACACTTGTGAATGTTATCGAAAATTGCCGGAAAGTGGTTCAAAAACTTGTGTATGTTCTGTTCTTGTTTACTGATATTATTGTGGTTAAATAGGTTATGGATTGTGCACGCCTAAAGGAACTTTGCGTCGGTGTCTCGTCTCGTAATAATTACGTTCGCTCAAGTCATGTAGTATTTCGTTACAAACTTCAACACGCTATTGTAGCTATAGTTCGCTTCATATTTCAGCTACATAAGCCTTATAGAATACACAAGAATTGAATGAAACCTGATCTCTTTAATTCTTATTAGGCAGTGCAAAAGTTTACTATGTTTTTCTACATTGTATTTTCTAAGATATCTAGCCATGTACACGAGTCTGTGTATATTAATTTATGTATCTACATTCGAGAACTAGTTTCGAAGTTTACCTGTACTCTGTATAATATTTTTATTTTTTATATTAGAACAAAACTTTTCCTAGTCTTTCATAGCATGTATATAGGTAACTATTTTATTACCTTGACATTCAAACTAGATAAATTCTCATAAAGATAAGTGTTTATTTTATCTGTATATCCAAATCTTTTTAATATCAGATCTGAAAGATAAGTTTTAAAAAAATAACAAGAATTAAAGTAATAATCAAACTTTAGTACCAATCAGTTTCTTATTTTCCTCATAAATACATACCTAACTAATTATTGTTATGTGTTTTGATTTGTTTTACTAAAGTTTATTATAAATTCCTCCAGTCGTAAAGAACAGGGAAATATAACTACTTACTGTTTATAGATACTTAATCAATGGGTATCGTAATTAAAGATATTTATTAATGATTTTTAACTAAACTTAATTACAAATTAAACAAATTCAAAAAAGGTATGTATGTAAGTATCGTAACAATTGGAAATCCATAGTCCCTGCCTACCCCCATGGGAAACAGACGTTATGTTATGTAATTACATATGCCAAGAAATAATTTCATTCATACAGTAAAGATGTAATTCGTATATAAGCGATGTGACCGTGGCGATCAGATAAATCGACTTATCTGCACCGCACCTGCCCGTAACCTCTTTATCTACCAGTACTATGTTTATACTCATTTACTCCATACTGATAATAACATTCACGATTGCTCGTAAGATATGTACAAGGGATTAACATTTTAGTAGAATTTATTATGTAGATTCTTTTTATTTACCTACTGCGGTTCTTGATCTTACCATTAATTACATCTTAAATATTATGTGATTGAGCAGTTTGAAGAATACAAGAGTATCTATGTTTAGAAAGCAATGAATTTTGTGCTCCGAAGTGAATGAACTTGCTTATCAGCATAGATAAGCAATATAATCTGTAGATTGTAATTTTTGTGTCAAGTGGCACATTCTACTATCGTATGATAGTAGAATTTATCAGAAAAATTGCGGAAAATGGTGTGTAACTTTTTTTTTGGTAGAAATTGATATAGGTACCTATGTAATGAACTAATGATAGAACTAAAATATTAGGTACGTGGCTATTATCAACCTATGGTTTGTATGACCATAGCAACTCAATTTTGCACCTACAAATAAATTTAAATAAATTATAAAGTCAAGGTTAACATAAAAACACTTCCTACGGCGGTTCTATTACTCGTACTTTAATAAGTTTTGCAAAAAAATGTAATGGCTGTATTAAATGTTTTAAATTGTGGAAATCATACAAAAAACTATAATATACAAAATCTACAACAAAGTCGTACATTTATACGATACATTACGCCATTTAACACTTTAGAAATTGACCAAGTTGTGGTATTACCCATAACAAACCTAAAACATAAAAAGGCAACATACGGCCGAAAATTGATAACCTCCGTTTTGGTAAGTCGGTTCAAAAATCGTATACATATACATATTATCACATCGTGTCATAAGGTGGCTATAGTTCATCAAAAAAGGTTAGTGGTCGATTATGTGCAAGTGCGTCTCGCAGAGACAACTTGACCGACAAATGTAAATAAATAAATTCCGACAAGTGCAAAAAAACTGCACTCAGTCGCCTTCCCCTAACCACAGGATAAAGTTGAGATACTGCGCAATGTCTGTCGACAACTTTCTTTTTTTTTCAACTTTTTGTGTTTGTTTTGTAAACAGATTATGCGAAAGCCATATGTAAGTAATACGAGGAGAATGATATTTCTGGTCCTTCTCCAAACTTACGATAAAAGAAGAAAAATTGTGTTACACTTAATAAAAACCCTGGCCTGAACAATATGTAAACACAGTATCGTATGTCATGCTCGAAATATCATACTTTTCAAAGAAACAGAGAAAACAATAGTTTTTTTTTTGCTTTTGAATTGAAATAAAGCCTTATAGTTTACAACTATATCATTATTCGAAAGAATTTGTCACAACATTGTTTAGAATAAGTTATTTTACTGAATATTTTCCATTTCTGTAATAAGTAACTTAAAAATCTTTATAATTAAATTGTACCTACCTATTACAGTCAAGACATTACTGACGGCCCAGCTCGTAAAACAAGTTTAAAACTCAAAATAACAAAAAAGATAACTACATTTAATTCATTCAAACAAAGTTTTAATAGTTATATTGTAGAAAAAAATCTTCTGTAATAGGTATAATTTATTATTGCTATTAGCGCGTTATTTACTACGATTATCCTTAAACAAAATGTAGCCACTATGTAGGTACATTGCCGTACTATCTTGTATGACTAAGTAGAACAATATGCCAAGCTGCTTAACCCACGTGTTTAACACACAACTAGTAATGTAATGAAATACATACTCTCAGCTATCTTCCTTACGTCCAAAGTATGTGTACGGTTTACTTTTAGGACAGTCCCTAAAATAACCCGCACTACGACACTTCCTAGTTTAAAAAGGCACATCACATGGAACTAGAATTGATATATGTCTGTGATATGTGATATTTTCACAGTTAATATCTTACGGCTGAGTGTCGACTTTCATGAAAGAAGGTTACAAAAACCACTGCTAAGAGTTCAGTCATAAGAATAGATACGACAATTGGCTGGACTCATGAAAGAACTGAAGATAATGTTTTACAAAAATCTTCATATCTCGTTGGCAAATCAGCGAATGCCAACAAAAAATCTCACGGGCCTCTATTTGCCAATACATAAACCATATCAACATCCCAGACGTTACACGACCTTGTGTTGTGGGACAAGAAATACCTACCAAGCAAATTATTTGTCGAGTCAAATTCATTCATCATATCTTTATCGTGGTTTGTATTACGGAAGCAATCACGCATAGTTGCTAAGTGGGCGATCCATGGCTTTAATCTTAGCTTAGAAGCCTCGATAATGACAGGAAGTAACTACAAAACACATTTTGTTAAACTTCAATCGTCGTAAAACAGAATCTAAAATGTATTTGGAGTCAAACTGTCTCGATAAATGGTTCTAGTCATAAGATGTGGTATTACTTTTTATGTGATTTATCGAATAGCTAGTGATATGTATACTTATCGATATTCGAACTGTGTCTACGATTCAGTTAGTACAGCAATTGGTGGCAACTAAACAGAAGGTCCCGACTTTCTTGTTATATGTGCATTATCTCAAAATTTTTGTAAACTAAGATTAATCGAATCGTGCAGGGCCGGTCAAGAAACGTAGGTCTTGTAACCATAAATAGATTTTAAAGTAGGAGGCCTAATGATTCGCAATTGAGTCCAGAGAGCGGACCTGATTGAATATAACTAGCTTACTTTACAAGGCCTACGCTTGTTGTCGATATCTGAGAGTATCTCATTGTCCCATAACTGACATGTTTATCAAGATAGACCAAAGGATTTCTGCGATTATTCAACCAGCTAGTATGTACCTTTCAAAGGTACGGCACTATAATAGCTCAATTAGGTAACTCAGGGCACAGTGACAGCCCGTCCCTTCATATAAAAACTAATGGACCATGACTAAGTAGAACACCAAACGAGTCTTGGCTTTGTTTGATAGTTTTATCAATATTCCTGTTTATTAAGAACAAGTCTAGGTTGTAATTTTGGTTAGAATTTCGTACCGAAGACTGAAGCTACAATAAAATTTTGGCTGGATAATTTTTTTATTGGCTAAATTACCCTAGGCCTATTCCTTACGCGCAGAACATCGATGTATTTGATCTTTATAAACTTCATATTTCTTTTCTTGGAACTATTTAACTACCTTATAAAATAAGAAAATCTTTCTCCCTGACTCAGTTATTACCATATTCCTGAAGCAATCCACTTTAAAATTTCAATGTAAACATTGAAATTTTAATACAGTAAACTGTATGATTCGTCTCCTTTATCAGGCAATTAGTTCAAGCAGGGCAAGATTAATGGTAGCGCCCGTCCCTTCGGTATCGAAACAAGTGAAGTGAGACGTGCGCTCGCGCATACAATGCTCAACAAGTGAACTACCGCGAGTGGTGGTTTTTGTAACTTTATACACACACAGGGCCTTTTTTGCGCCATGTCTCCGATGAAAAGGATTTTTGGTTCAGTGATTTTGATTGGAGAATATTGAAACGATGTAGCAGTTTGTACTCTCGCTCATCAACTGGTTGAAATACAAAAACATGGATTACCAATGCAGCCAAGTCAATTAAAAAGTAGTCAATTTATAAAGTTATCAAATTAACTGACGTTAAAATGATACAGTTTCTTAGTCTATCAGTATTCTAACGATCTTTATTTACTTTTTCGGTACCTAATTCACTACGGTTGATAAGATATCGAATCGGAATCACAATCATTGTGTAAACATCGCCAATTTGCTCACTATCGTTCCGATGCTCCAATTATTCAATAGCATTAAATCTATAGTGTACCACAGACACAATCCACTGAGATAATCGAAAACCACTCCTATTGC